CCCAGGCCTGTGCCCTGACCGGGAATCGAACCCGCGGCCCTGTGGTTCGCAGGCTGGCACTCAAGCCACACCAGCCAGGGCCCACAGCACTGCATGGTGACAGATCGTGGCAGACTGGGGGTCTTCAGACTGTGGAGGGCTCCGCTCCCTCCAAGGGCCCTAGGGGAGGGTCCCTCCTCACCCCCTCCGCGTCCGGTGTCTGCCGGCCGTCCTCGGTGCACCTTGGCCTGTGGCCGCTGTGCCTCCGCATCTCAGGCCGCCCGCTGTGTCTCTTACGAGGACCGGTCGTTGGTCTTAGGGCTCCCGGGGGATCCAGGTGGGTCTCCCTCGATCCCCCACTGACCGCATCTGCACAGCCCCAGTTTCCAGACGAGGTCCACTCACCGGTTCGGGGGTGGCAGGACTCGTCAGGTCTCCCCGGGGACAACACTCAGCCCGCAACCACTGGTGTCTCTGAATAACGGATGATGGGGCCTGGCGCCTCCTCTCCGTGCGCCTGGCGGCCAGTCCGCCGCCGGACACTCAGTAGGGCTCAGCAAGGGAGACACTCAGCAGGGCTTGGTGAGGAATGACACTCAGTAGGGCTCGGTGAGGAAGACACTCAGTAGGGCTCAGTAAGGAAGGCACTCAGTAGGACTTGGTGAGGAATGACACTCAGTAGGGCTGGGTGAGGAAGACACTCAGTAGGGCTGGGTGAGGAAGACACTCAGTAGGGCTCGGTGAGGAAGGCACTCAGTAGGGCTCAGTAAGGGACGACACTCAGTAGGGCTGGGTGAGGAAGACACTCAGTAGGGCTCAGTAAGGAAGACACTCAGTAGGGCTCGGTGAGGAAGGCACTCAGTAGGGCTCAGTGAGGAAGGCACTCAGTAGGGCTCGGTGAGGAAGGCACTCAGTAGGGCTCGGTGAGGAAGGCACTCAGTAGGGCTCAGTGAGGAAGGCACTCAGTAGGGCTGGGTGAGGAAGGCACTCAGTAGGGCTGGGTGAGGAAGGCACTCAGTAGGGCTCGGTGAGGAAGGCACTCAGTAGGGCTCGGTGAGGAAGGCACTCAGTAGGGCTCAGTGAGGAAGACACTCAGTAGGGCTGGGTGAGGAAGGCACTCAGTAGGGCTCAGTAAGGAACGACACTCAGTAGGGCTCGGTGAGGAAGACACTCAGTAGGGCTCAGTAAGGAAGGCACTCAGTAGGGCTTGGTGAGGAACGACACTCAGTAGGGCTCGGTGAGGAACGACCGCTCCGATTCACGCCCTCTCCTGGCAGCGGTGCCGTTGGCCTTTTCCGACCACTCCCAAACCCGAGTGCTCATGCACCGCGGCCACGCGGGCCGGGCGCCCAGCAGCTCCGTGTCCACGTCTCCTCCAGGGCCGGCCCCGCTGCCCAGACAGCCTGTTCAGTGACTGACGATCCCTGAACACCAGCCGCCATCGCTGGTGCCTGCGGCCTCCTGGACCCGCGTGGCCCGTGGCCCTCCCTGCAGGGCCGCCGTGCAAACCCACGGCTAAAAGCCACCTGCAGCTGGGCCTCCCGTGGCCTCACAACGAGGGCAGACCCCAGGGGCGTCTGCGTCCGGCCAGTGGGGAGGGGACGCCGCCGTGTCACTCCAGGCTGTGCAGGACGCGCCGCTGTGGCGCCCAGTGGGGCGGTTGGGTGGGCGAGACACGGGGACCTTGAACGGTCTCTGCCGTGCGGCCCCCGGGGAGTTTCGTGGCCCGTGCTCCTGTTTGAAGCGACCGACGCTTCCATTCAAGTTCCCCGTCACTTTTCGTGGGTCGCTGCAGAGGCTGTGGGTTCTCAGCCTGGGATGGCCTCCCCCTGTGTCGCAGGCTTCCGGGGCCGAGGCAGCTGCAGGCCAGTGGCGCTCCGCGGCATGTGGCTGGAGATCCAGTCGTCCCGACCCTGCTCCCCGCCAGGCCCTCCCGCCCTGTGGCCTTCCTCCAGCGACCTCCCCGACGGCCGGGTCCCCCAGTGGACTCCTGCTGGTGTCCACGCTTGTTTCACCCCGTCCCACACACACAGTGGGCGCGTGGCCCTGCGCTGGGTGCCGAGGGCGTCGGGTGACCCGCAAGTGAAGGGTCTGCTGTCCGGGGCCCCACGTCCCTGGGGGGACTCAGCATGATGGGGCACGAGGGGGGCCGCCGAGGGCAGCTCCCCTGTGTCGGGAAGCCTGCCCTCCCGTGGGCGTCTGGGGGGTCTTGTCTCGCCTGCCTCCCCCAAGCCCCACGCGGCACGAGCAGCAATGTGCTGCACCACAACATGCTCTGCAGGTGGGGAAACTGAGGCTCCGGGAAGCGGAGCTGGGCGGCGGCTGAGTCAGGATTCAGACCGGGTCTGGCGAAGGGAGGGGGGCAGGTCCAGATGGGCAGGGCCGGGGGGCTGTTCCGATCCCGGGGTCCTTCACTGACTCCCCCTGAGGCACAGGCCGTGGTTTCTGTTCCCGTTCTGCAGAGCTGGACCCTGAGGCCCCCAGCGTCCGGGTGCCCTTGGGGTCTGAGCTGAGCTGGATTTGAGCTGATGCCACGCCCACCAGGACAGAAGGCCCCGCCCCATGCGCTCCCTGGTGGGGGAGCCAGCCAGCCCCCAGCTGCACTGCCCTGCCCTGACCCGTCCCTGCGATGGGGTGGGCGGGGGGACAGCTGGTGGGAGACGTGCGGGTGGTCTGCGAGCACTCGAAGCCCCTGGCGGGGCCAGGCAGCATCTGGTCCTGTGGGTGGAGCTGGCCGGGCGCCTGGAGCCCGGGATAAGTTCACCGGAGTGCCGGGCGGAGGCGGGTGCTGGGGGCGTGTCCGCGGGGAGAACAGGACCTGGGACCCTCTGAGCAGCCTCGTGTTTCCAGGGGGGCCAGGGCCACTTGCCGGCGGCCACTCCTGCAGGGACTCTAGGAGCAGACGGCCGTGGCTTCCGTGGCCAGGGCCCTGGAAGTCTTCCCCAGACAAGGGGCAGGGCCGGTGTGGGGTCTGCACCTGCCCAGCACCGAGCCGGCCGTGGGGGCCAGGGGTGGACGCAGGAGGCAGTTCTCATCTGCGTCCCAGCTGGTGAGGCCATGGAGAGGGAAAGGCGGAGGGGCCTGGCGGGGGGGGTCCACTCACCCCTGAGCCCCTGGCCGCCCCAGCCCCCCAGCGCCTGTGGTTCTGGGTCTGGCTCTCCACCAGGCCGCTGAGGCTCCCGGTGGTGGTTACGGGAACGACTCCCCGGGGCTCACCGGTCCACCACACTGTCATGGGGATTGACCCCCTGCCCTCACGAGAATCCCGGGAGGCCTGTGGTCTGTTCTCGCCGCCTTGTAGTGCGAGAGGAGACTGAGGCTTGGAGAGCCCGCCCCGTACTCAGCGTGGGCGGGCTGGACCCCGCCCCCGGGCTCCTGGCTCCGGGCTGCTGGTCGTGCTTCAGGCTGAACCCCACTCCTGAGTTTTGAGGCCTCCCTGGGCCGGTCGTCGGGGATTGCATGGACCACCAGGTGTCAAGGCGTGTGCCCCACTCTGCTGGCCCTTCCCTGGAAGGCAGGACTCCCCTGGCCGGTGCTGGAGGGGGGGGCGTCGGGACAGGTCTGTGCTCTCCAGCCGTGCCTCCCACCTCTGCGAAGCGCCCCCGCCGCCCTGTGTGAGGGGAAGCTCTCGGCTGCCGCCCGTCCCCTGCCCTCCGGGGGCCACGGGTCCAGCTTGGCTGCACTGCTCCCCCAGGGGTGGCTGCGTACGGGGGCCGCGTGCTTCCTGCAGGCCGCACATCGAGTGCGGGGCAAGGCTGACCTTCAGCGGCCTGGGGCTCGACGCCCACCAGCATGTCGCTCCCTGCGCCCCGGCCACTCCCTCTGAGACGGGGGCCCCGGACCCTTCCGGGTTCACCGCAGCCTTTCCAGAGGGGCCCCTCCGGGCGGGCCCTTCCTCCTTGCACCCAGTGCTCCCACCCTGCCCCTGAGGACCCTGGAGGAGGCCTCCCCCCCTGCCCGTCCCCTCCACAGTGGCCCCGCTCCTGACTTACTCCAGGGGGGTTGTGCAGCCCCCGACGCCCGGGAGGGCCCTGGTCTCGCAGCCACCCCGCCGGGCAGCCCCCTCCCGCCCTGCACCCAGGGGTGGACGAGGTGGCGAAGTGCCCTTCCTGTCCCTGACGGGAGCCTCTGGCAGCTGAATCAAAGTTGGACCTTTGCGTTTCTCTCCTTTGAAAAGAAAAAAAAAAAAAAAAAAAACACCACGGTGCCAAGAGGCAGGACCCGTGGCTCTGCCTGCCTGTCAGGGGGGGACCCCGAGGCTGCTTCTCCGGGCCCCAAACTCCACGTCCCCCAGAGGAGGAGCCACCTGCCCCCCACAAGGAGCCCCCACGCGCCGCTGCGCCGAGCAGAGCCCGGCCGCCTCTCCGCCCGCCTGCGGTTTCCGTGCGCGGGGTGACGCGGTTGATTGTGGGGGCACCGCGTTCCCGTGGACGGAGAGGGAGGGGTCGGCGGCTGCGTCTCCCGGCGCCGGCTCACGCAGGGAGCACATAGAATCTGATTTGATTTTTTTTTTTTTAAACCCTTGAAGAAGAAGGGAGGAAGAAAGAGAAAAAAAACAAAACAAAACAACAGAACTGCTGCCTCATTTCTGGCCCGGCCGATTCCATTCGCTCCCCGGAAGGCGCAGCCCCGGCCCCGGGGCCCCTCCGCACGGCGGCCGAGGCGCTCGCTCGCTCGCTCCTCCCGGCCGCTCGCCGACCCTGCCCGCCGGCGCCCGGAGCCGCCGCCGCCCGCAGGCCTCCCCACCATGCGCGCCTCCTTCCTCCCGCTGGCTCCCGCGCTGCCTCTGCCCGGCCCCCCCTCCCAGCCCCGTCGAGCCGTGCCCGCCTATCCCGTTCGCCTGCCCCCCAGCCGCCTGGCTCCTCCTGCGCCCTGCGCCGCCTAGCTCCCTCCATGCTGCCCGGACCCGGCGAGCTGGGTGATTAATTGGCTATGATGATGAGCGTCCCCGGCGGAGGAGCGGCGGCGGTGATGATGACGGGTCACAATAATGGTCGCTATCCCCGGAATTCTGCCTACAGTGACTGCATCGTCGAGGAGAAGACGGTGGTCCTGCAGAAGAAGGACAATGAGGGCTTCGGGTTCGTCCTGCGCGGGGCGAAAGGTAAGAGCCGCCGCTCGCTCGCAGCCTCCCGGCTGCGTTCACATGTTGTGTGTGTGTGTGTGTGTGTGTGTGTGTGTGTGTGTGAGAGAGAGAGAGGGAGAGGGAGAGGGAGAGAGAGACGTTCCCCAGCTCCCAAAGAAGCCTTTTTCCTGAGGGCACTCGGTTGCTAGACAACCGTGTTCTTCTCCATGCCGCCTCACTCACACAGCGGCACCGGGGCCTCCTTCAGGAATGTGGCTAATTCTCTGTGCACAGCGTTGCCCCGGGCGAGCTCCCTCCCTCCCTCCCTCCCTCCCTCCCCCCACCCTTGTTCAGAATCCCCGGTCTGCTCTGTGTTTGCTGGCTGGGTCCAGCCCGCTCGGGGCTGCCTCCCGAGTGTCCGGCCTCAGGTGCCCAGAAGCACCTGGTCCCGAGTTCCGGGACCCAGAGCCCGCCGCCCCGGGGCCGGGAGGGGGCTCGGGCTCCGAGTGCGGCAGGCGGCCGCGTGCCTGCCCCTAAGGTGACTTTGCAAAGGAAGCGTGGCGAGATGGTCCCTTCCCCCGTGGCCCGAGCCGGCAGCTCACACCATCACGTGGCCCGGGGTGGGGGGCTCTGGGGGGCCACTCCGCGGTGGGGACTCGGGGGCTCCCCCCCTGAAAAGGAGCAAGATGGCATCGCCTCCCCGTGCGAGGAGGCGTCCGTCCACCTCGCGTGTGGGAAAGCCGTGGGGAAGTTTTCTCTCTGAGCCTCTGTGCCGAGGTGGGGGGCTCCTTCCCTCCCCCCCCCGGGGGGGGGTATCCCCAGCGGCCAAGGCCGAGGCTGCCCTGACAGCCGTCTGTCCAGAGAGAGAAGGAAACGGTGGCCATCCCCGTGTGTGTGTGTGTGTCCACCGCTGCCCGTGTGAGTCCCCTCCCCTCCCCCTGCAGGGCCGTCTCCGTCCCCCCACCCTCACCCCCGGCTGCTCCTGGCAGCCCCGGAAAGTCCGTCCCTCTCGTCTCTCGGCCCAGAGTTTCCCCCGGCCGCTGTGCGGGGCCCGGAAGCCCAGGCTGGCGGGGGCCCAGCCCCCCACCCCCGGGACGTTGGCCGCAGAGTGGGCGCAGAGACGGAGGAAGCAGACCCCACCGCGGCAGCCCCCCGCCCCGGGTCAGCGTCTCGCTCCGACCCAGCCCCGCGCTGGAGCCCCCGCGCTGCGGCCTGTGCAGCCCGAGACCCGGCGTGCGGCTTCGCCCGGGGCCTCTGGAGCTCCATGTGGCTACGGGGGGAACTTTTCCATTTTTAGCACCGAAAATGTTTAGTCACCGACGCTCTTAAAGAAAATGACAGGCACGCACACATGGGCACGGACTGCGGGGCACGCGCGTCCATGTGTGCGGCGGGGAGGCCCGGAGGTGTGACTTGGCCCCGGAACGCCGTGGGCGTCACGGCTCGGGTCGGCGTGGACCTGCGAGTCCGAGTGGCGGGCCCCGCCCGGGGAGAGCGGGCCTGGGCCGCCCACTTCCGGAGGGACGCCCGTGGGTCCCGGGGTCGGGGGTCCTGCGGGGGCCGGGGCTGCCGCCTGGCAGACGCCTCCCAGGCTTGTAAAGAGTGTCCTTGCCTCCCCAGCGGACACCCCCATTGAGGAGTTCACGCCCACGCCGGCGTTCCCGGCCCTGCAGTACCTGGAGTCCGTGGACGAAGGCGGGGTCGCGTGGCAAGCCGGACTGAGGACCGGGGACTTCTTGATTGAGGTAGGGTCACTGGTGTTTGTGTCTTTCTGCTTGGGGAGAGCGCCGGCTCTCCGCGTCCGTGGTCGGGACAGCGCGGCCGTTGGGCTCACACGGGGGCATCCGTGGATCCTGGCGTGGACTCGTGCTTGGCTACCTGCGCCCACTGGTGGATCCCAGTGGCTGTGGACACGTGTGTTGGTTGGGGTCACTTTGAGGCCTTGCCTAGAACTCTCTGGACGGCGGAAATGTCTGTGGACCTCGGCCACTGGTCGTGAAGTAGACGGGAGAGAAGTGTGGTCGCCGTGACATTGAGGCCCTTTGCGGGCGGTTTCAGGGCGACTGCATGCACAGACACCAAGAGGGGCCATCGCCCGTTCTGGTGCCGCGGGGGCAGGGGGCAAGGACAGCCCCGTGGCTCTGGCCCACACACGGCTTCACGTTGGTGGCCGGGACCCTGTTGACCTGTAAGCTGCTTCCAAAGACCAAGAAGCGCGGGTGGGAGGGCGGCGGACGTGGACGGACCAACAGGCACTTGAAATTCGGGGGCTCTGGAAGCCAGATGTTGCCGGCAGGGCAAGGAGGAGACCTCCTCACGGAAGGAACCGGCGAGACGCCAGCGCCTCACCCGGAGGGGCCGCGGCGGGCGGGGCGGGCGCCCTGGCGGCCAGCCCCCGGCGGAGCCCCGTGCCCGCTGCAGACTCGACTTCCCGTCTCGTTTGCGCACACGGAAGGGGCGTGCTCCTCTTTAGGGATATTGCGAATGAGAGAATGTGCTGCCCCTGGAAAAGGTATTTTTAGGCGGTTGGCTAGGTGCCTGTAGCCCTCGCCGGAGTTCACATTTCTTGGAAAAGCGTCTCTCCAGGCTGCCCTGGAGCCCTGTCTCATCCGGGCGGGGAGCCCTCCCGCAGGCGGAAGCCGTGGGTGCGTGGCACCGGGCCGGCCGCAGGGTGGTCCCGCCGCGGGGTCGGCCGCCCCCTGTTGGTTCTGTGCAGGGGGAGACCCAGGCCCTGCCGAGATGGTCACTGGAAGCCATTGCCCTTGGTCACACCTACGCTTCCGAGGGCGCTTCTCAAGCTGTGATGTAGCTCATCCCCTTCGTGTTTCTTAGAGTGACGGGGACCCGGGGGGGAAAGGGCACCCTGGGGAGAGCCGGGTGCCGTGGAGAAGGGGCTCCCCTCACCATCCCAGGTGTCCCGTGTGGAAGCCCGGGCGGGGACAGGCCCATCACAGCTCACCCGGACTCGGTCCGTTCCGTCTGCAGGGTGTGCACGCCCGCAGCGGCGCGGGTCTCACGGGCTCCCTCGGCGTGTGACCTCCCGGAAACGCGGAGACACTGGGTGGAACCGTCTTCTGTAGGACGCAGTCGTGACAGAGGTCCGAGGTGTGTGTGCGTGTGTGAGGGAGTGCGGGGTCGGGGCCCCGGGGCGTCCACGGAGCTGTGGCTGGTTTTCGGTCATCGATGGTGACCGCGGAGTCCAGCACACCCCCTGTCGCCGGGCTCCTTGGGGCACTTCCTTCGTAAACGAGTCCACAGAACAAATGCAGCGCTGCCGTGGGGCGGGCCTGGGGAGGCACCACTGGCCCGGGGAGGCAGAGCCGCCCGGGGCTGGCCGAGGTGGCCACGGCGCACCTGGGCCGGGCGGAGAAGGCACATCCCCCTGGTCGGACAGAAGCCCCCCGCCCCGTGGAAATTAGGGGCACTAAGAGTTTCCACACTTCTGTCGGAGCACCTTCTGTGACATTGTTTTTTTTCACCTCTGCTGTGCAAACATACGGGCCGTTTTGGAACAGGTTCTGTGTCCTAGGGAACCTCCGGACTCCGGGATTGTGGGACCGCTGGCCCCGAGACGCACAAAGGATCGTTGGTTATTACGTCCCAGATGCCGTGAAGGAGGGGCAGGCGCTCCTCCGAGGCCACAGGCCACGGGGACTGGGGCTGGACCCTTGGAGCCTGGCGCCCCCCGTTCATGTCCAAGGCCGCCGGGGCGGGGCGGGGTGCAGAAATTCTCCTCTCCGCGTCGGGCCACAGAGCCCGAGCGTCCTCCCTGAGTGAGTGGTTTCCCTAGCTACCAGGTTCCGCCTCTGGAATATTAAAACCGCTCCTAGCCTTATAGCTGCATTTTTCTTCCAACAGACAGTTCTTTATGTTTCTAGTGAAAAGCGTCAGCCTTGCAGGGATTATTTGAAACGGATCCGTGTGTCGCAGGTGAGTGCTTGGTTTGGTGAAGAGCTGCCCCCCTGGACGCCGTGGGCTTCTGAGCCCCTGGTGACGCGCGGGGTCCCGCGTGAAAACCGCCCCAAGGGCGGGCCAGCCGTCCTTGTCCCCCCACCCCCCTCCCCCAGCCACGGGGCCCCTGGCATGCCTCCCCTTTCTCTCTGCTGTGGGAAAGGGACTCCAAGGGGGTCAGATGGTACTTTCTCTGTAAAAGCGCGTGGTGGAGTTTGAACTGGGGGGGCCCAGGGCCACGTCTGCAGGGACTGTTTGCTCTTCAGGGTCTTCAGCGGCGGCAGAACGCTGTCTTTCCTTCTTGGGCCTTGTCGGAAGGCCTGGCGTCGTCCCCCCCCACCCGGCCGGCGCAGAGGGCCGGGCCGTGCAGCCCTTGCCCGGGCGCTGAGCCTCCGGCGCACCGGTCTCTCCGGCCCCGGCGTTCGGCTGGAGTTTGCTCTTTGCTGTCGGCGTTGTTTCTGGGTTGCCAGGCCCGGCCCCGACCCGCCGCCAAGAAGCAAAAACTTTGAGTGCAGCAGCCCCTTGTCAAAGGGTCTCTTCGGATCGGGAATTCCGGGAGAGGCGGGTCATCGGGATCTCAGGGGTGGGGACGGAGGGGGGACCCCCAGGAGGGTTGTTTGAACGTGGCGGCCTCACGGGGCGGCGAGTGCCTGCTGTATCAGATGCGTGAGGTGTGCCTGAGCCACCCCCCAGGGCTGATGGCACCACAGCGTCCCACAGAGCTCTGGGGGTGGTGGAGGGGCCCCGGCGGGGACGGGCAGAGAGAGACACGGGCTGGCAACCGGGACGGCGCCACGGCGGGAAAGAAGCAGGCGGCCGAGTCAGGGCGTCTGTCCCTCCCCTTGCGGTCGAGTGGAAGGATGGGGACGCCACAGCGAGGCGTGGCGGCAAAGGCCCGTGTCCCTTCTGGTCACAAGGGAAGCCGGTCCAGACCGGTTTCGGGAGAGGAGCTCGCCGAGAGACTCCTGCTCCTTGTGGGCGGTTCCCTTGGTTAGGTGTCCTTGGCCCCGCGAGCCGGGGCCGGCAAGCTCACCCCTGGCGCGTCCTAAGGAGGACGCTCGGCTCGAGGATGGCAGCCTTGCTCCGTGTCCTGCGGGGGAACGGGGGGTGGGAATGTCGTCTTGATGTCTTCCGGGGACTCGCTGACGGGGGGCCCGTCGGCCTCCTCCAGGGGAGCCCGGCTGGGCACAGAGTCCCACCCGTCTCTCAGAACCAGGGGGCCCAGTGGCCGGCCCACACCCGTGACGCGGGATCGCGCGGCAGGAGCTTGGGTGTCGGAGCTTCTGGAACAAAAGCTCGTGACGCCGCCAGGGGCTCCGACGGGCAGGCCCGAGGGCGGGCTGGCCGGACCCTGGTGGCGGGCATTTGGACCTCGGTGTCGGACCTTCTGACCCGAGAGTTGAAGCAGGCACTGCGTCCGCCGCCTTGGTTCCGAGGAGGGCGGTCCTTCTTCCACAAGCGCCCTTTTGCAGATGGAGCTCCGTGTCTTGCATTGCTGTCGTACGATGAAGTGTCCTTGATCTCACGAGTTGCTCAGCGTACAACTGACCGGTGACCATCACAAGGGCAAATAGCGATGAGGGGCCAGTCCTGCCCGGGTCCTCGCCGACGGGAATCGGGGCGGACAGGCCAGGCACCGTCCCGCACCCTGGCGTCCGCTCCCGTCCCCGGCGGTGTGTGGACGAGGAGACCGAGACGGGGCCGGTTAATGCCGCGGGTGGGCGGCAGACGGGCAGGGAAGCCGGGACGTGTGTGCCCCTGGCTATCTGGTTCCCCGACGATGCCACGGCTCCGAGACGCCGGAGGGAGGCTGTGATGTGCTGGGTGTGTGAGTGCGCGAAGCGTCAGAACGGACAGAAAGGACAAGGGGCCAGTTTTTGTTTTCAAATCAGCACATGCTTATTTAAAAAAAAAATTATTCCTGTACCCGTCGCTGGTGACAGCTCTCGTATGTCGCCACGTGGAAGAACGAACTGCCGTAAACCGTTCAGAAACCCACGGGACAGCGAGTGACGAGAGCCGGACCCAGGAGGCTCCCTCTAGGGGACACTTCCTGGGGGGGATCCCACGGGGCGGGCGGAGCTCACGGCAGCGCCGACACAAAGGGGGTGGGGTGGCCGGGAGGTGGTGAGGGGGCACAGTGCACCTGCCCTGGCTTCGTGGGAAAGCGTTTCGCATCGCGCCCGCGAGGAGCCCGCCGCACCTGCGGGGACTGGCCCCCTCGGGCCGGGCGAGAGGGAGGAACCGCACCCCACCATCAGAGTCCTGGGTCCCCCCACCAATATCGGCACGGAGAACAGAACGGGCACGGCCATGCCAGCTCCTGGGCGAGCAGATCCCGCGGGGTTGTTGTCTGGGCGCTCAGACGCGTCTCTTCTCCGCGGGCCGTCTCCAGCGACAGCACTCACTCCTTCCACAGGTGTTAGTCACGTGAGCAGAGCATCGTTCCTCCGGAGAAGGCCGCGTCACGTGGGCGAGCGGGGTCCCGGCCTCCGGGGGCCGGGGCGTCTCTGTGCGCTTTTGGCTCGCTCTCCGGGGTGTTTGTTAACCCGCCCGCGGCAGCGCCGGAAGCCCCTGCGGCCTTCCTGGTGGTTTTCGGAGCCCCGACGTGGCCAGCGTGGCTTTTGTGGAACTTCCCTGGGTCGGTTTCCCCTGGCAATCAACACAGGCCACGCTGTCTTTCATCCTCCCAAAGCGACGCCGGAGTTTGCGCACTCATTCCTTTCCCGTCCTATTAAATGCTGGCACCCGCAACGGCCCGGAGCTGTGCTCTCACCGCGGCTCGCACGGCGGT